CCTTAACCCTACCTCCAAAACGGTAGATGCTGGCGAGGTGCGCCCCTTTTCGAAACCTGGCACTTCTGGGAGTTTCGAGGGCCAGGCCTAGGCCCAAAATGTGCCGGAACCCTAACACAGGGGCCCTTCTTCGAAGAAGGTCTTGTTATAAGGAACCCCACAATACAGGTGCTGCAAAGCGCCGGCCCTTTGCAAGCTTCTGCACGTGGCTGCGGCATCCTTCCGCCGCAAGCTGCCAGGCAAAGCTATGTTCTCGGGCAGACCCCGCACGCCCTGACAGCTGACTCTCTCGGTGTCGAACACCATGTCACCGCTTGCCTAGCGCCGGCTGGTGCCCCGAAATCTACTTCACGACGTCTTGTTGGGTGGACACGCGCCGGTGCGCTTGTGGCTTTCAGCCTCAGCGGCTCTGACCTTGGCCCTTCTCCCCCGAAACAGGTGCGTTTCACCAATGAACTAAGGGTCTGAAACAAGCCGTTTGCGAGCTGCCTACTAATGAGGATGGCCGTGTTGCACAGCCTGCCGAAGGTTCACTGCATTTACAACGGAGTTCAGGAATGCAGCATACTTCAACAAGCATGTGACCTCATCCACTGGGGTATTCGAGATGTGGAATGCCCGATCAGCTTCATGGCTGCGAACCGAAACCCTCAAGCCATCTAAACCCTGCAGGACCACAGCGGCTTCGGGGGCTTCGGCTTCGCAGAAGTCTTCGACTCACCCTACAGCATCAAAGGGAGACCTGCAGATATCCATCAATCTCACAAATCTCACAGACCCCCACCCAGCTACCGGAAACCCTACACTTCAGAGGTTGGCGATTGATTTGGCGCTCTCCATGGGATGATGTCACGAGTTCGTCACCTGCCAGTAGGCAGCGCTTTGCCAGTCCAACGATGGGCCCGGAACAGCTTTAGAGCGCGTACAAGCTCGTGGAGCTCAAGCTGCAGAACCGTAAAAATGTGTTAGGGCTGCCTCTGGAGCACTTTAAGAAGCCAAGCAGGATCCTACTCCAGCCGCTGCAAACTGGTTCTATACATGTTGTGGGAAGGTTCATGCTAGGGTTTTGGGTGCAGGGTTTAGGGTTTGTGGCGCAAGCCAATCCCAGATGTCTCCTGAAGAATGTGCATCCTCGATCTCTCAGCTTCCCAGGGAGCAACAATGTCCAGGACTGCCACGTGCAAAACGGAGCTTGGCGGGTGGCATGTCCGACCACCCTCACCCTGAAACTCAGAAAGCTAACTTGCAACATCAAGCTTTGCTACTGCCAGTATGTGTGGCATCACCCACGGCACGAGCACACCCTCAGGGGGAAGTGGGGGAACCCGACAGGAGCAAGCGCTGCGCCTCAGCGCCAGTAGTTTGGAAGAGGCAAAGGACGCTGGGCTAAGGCAAAGAGGCTCTAGGCTCCAGGGTTGAAGGGGCTTAGGGCCAAAGGAGCCAAAGGAGGTGCAGTGAGCTTTATGTCTCTGTCGACATCGCATGGAGGAGCCAGCACACCGGCCCACGCTCAAAATTCTGCCAGCAGCCCTAAACCCTAAGCCCTAAACCGTTACAACAGCAGCCTCCCGATGATTTTCCGAGCAAAGCCGAGCTGGTGCCCCTGGTCTGGGCAGCTCTGCAGCTGCTCCCCTTCACCCCCCCTTTACGGGTTTCATCACTACCTCTTGTGAGACGGCAGACTGGCCGGTTTCTGGCAATAAGTTTAAGAAGATCACACACTTTGGCTACTGCTCTTCAGTTGGCCAAGGCGGTAGCGAACGTAAGCGCAAGGGCAATTCCGGTTGGCTCAAGTTCAGGCATTTCGTGGCAGGGTCTTCGTCACTGCTTAGCAGATCAATGGTTAGTCAGTCAAGTTGCGTCACGGCGTCGCATGGGGTTTCAGCCATGTGGTTCTGACCGAAGCGGAAAGCCGGACGAGCCTCGCATGCTGGCCACACATTTTGACGTCTGCACAGCCTGCGCCTGTCGAGCATTTTAAAAAGCGATTCGTGGGATGCTTTCTCAGAAGAGCCTCTTATCTTAAGGTAGACTGGAGCCTCTTAAAGCAGATCGAATCATCTTCCTAGGCTTGCAGGGCGAGCATCAGACACACTTGTTGGGACGTTGGCCGGCTTGCAGCGCGAGGTCTCACACGACCATGTTGGGGCGTTGGCAGCACGACACGGCAGAGGCCCATCTTCCTACAAAAGGGCTGCCAGGGCCTCCTTGATATGCTGGCATCAAGGCCAGACAGGTGCTGTCAGGTGAGCCGAAGCCTCTGGGAGCCAATGCTACGGCTTGTCCAGGCCAAGCCTCCGGCAAAGCTGGCTGCAAACGTGCCACACTGGCGCGGAAGCGCAAGCCTTGCTGCAAGAACAGCAGGGACAATCTGTCCCAGATGCCGGGTCACCTTAGCTGAACACGACGCAAGCTCAAGTCAGGGTACGAGTTCCAGGTGCGGAGATCTTCTAGTGAATTTAGCAGCCAGGATAGCCATAGCAACCTCCACTTAAGACAAGCCGGGACCCGAAAGGAGTCCTCAATTTTTACGGATCAGGCTGGGCCTGCGAGGCGCAAACAAATCCCGAGGCCACAAGATCTTCCTCTTTGCAGCACATTCATTCAGGTAACCCAACATCAAGGCAGCACGATGACCCGCGCAAACGGGAGAGGCTGGTTCGGCCTCCTTCTAGATGCGTGATGAAGAAGCTTCGGAGGCTGCTATGAAATACCACAGATCGAAGAGTCGTGTATCTCTAGATTCTAGCTGGTGCCCAGTGAACCGGCCGTGCAAGCTCAAGCACCCTGCCTGCCTACCTGCCCGCCTCCCGACCTGCACAAACAAAGATTGCGTAGTTTGTTTTCGCAGTTCATCCTAAAGCCTGAGCCCTTAAGAAACGTCCGTCGGAGAACCCATCAGACTTGGCAAACAGTAACTGCGTTTGGCTGGCTCAGGTGCTCTGCGAGTCTGCAAGGCTCGCGACTCGCAACTGAGGTCACGGCTTCGCCATCGTGTCGCAGGCACATGGCGGTGATGTTCAAAACACCAGCAGGCAATAGCTTGAATGCAACTGAATGTCCTGTTGCCTGATGTACGGAACACGTCTTGAACAGTACATGCCACTTTGTCACTGACAAGACTCAAATGTTATTCTTCCCTTAACATCTGAAGATCGCTGCAATCTGCCTGGAAAAGGAGCCGCGGGAGCGAATCGTGCTATTTGAATTTCCGGCATAATCGGGCCAGGTGGTTCGGGCTTTAGGGCCACGGGTTTTCGGCTTTGGGATTGTCGTCTGGCGCTCATGACACTAGGATTGATGTAGGTTGGGCTTGGGATCGGGTAGAGGGCTTCTTGGGAGCAGGTTTCGAGGTCTGGAGAGGCTCCGTTTTCCCTAACACCCATTCCACAAGATCACGGAAATATCACCAAAGTATCACTGAAATAATTCTGTCGGCCATCCAGTGGTTGGCTCATTGGCAGATCATAATGGTATGATTCCAAAATGATTAATTTTCTCAATTCAGGACGGCCCCTCACTTCAAGAGTAGGTATCGCTGAGCTTTTGGAGTTGTTTCAGGGCGAGCAATTTCCTGATAAGTCTTGGTGGCAAGCTTGTTCAATCCTGGACAAGGCGGCCTTGGATTCGCCCCTGAATTTACTCCCATACAATGTTGAAAATTATCGAGCTGATATCGTCGTTTAGGGTTCATGGTATTCTAGCCCAAGTGAGCTGACTATGCCCCGCGCCGTGATACGATGAGGGTAGTGCGTTCCATGGCTGGCTATGGTTTACTTCCACCCTTGCACCCAAGCGTGTTGCTTTGTCGGTTTTCGCAGCAGCCTTGCTTTGCTCATAGCACGTCAACGTCGCCATGACAGCTAATTGGAGATATGAAGTTCGTACAAGCAAGCAAGAGGAACACGCTTTTGCCGAATGCCTTAGGCATTCGGCATGCCCTGATCGATTGCGCTCGATGGCTGGTTGTGGCCGAAAATGGAATGATGAGGATTGGGTGTGACGAGATCATGACACAATTGCTAAGAAGCGCCACTGGGATGAGTGTCTTCCAGCCTGACTCAGGCCTCATTATTAGGGTTTAGGTTTTTAGGGTTTGGGGTTTAGGGTTTAGAGTTTAGGGTTTAGGGTTTAGGGTTATGGGCTTGCCGGTTGGCGGGTTCGAGGGTTGAGGGGTTAGGGTTCAGGCGGGTTCTTTATGGCTAGGGATGAGGGGTGCCAGTAAGAAATCTTTCCAGTCGGGCGGGACAAACCTCCACACGCTAAGTTCCATGAATCCATGGAGGAGGGCTCGGTATAAAGTTGGGGGGCTTTCGATTTCTTGGCCAGGCTGGGCTGAGGTCTCTGCAAGCCCTTGATCTGACGGGGTTTTGGGGTTTTGGGGTGTAGGGTTTAGGGTTTAGGGTTTAGGGCTTAGGGTTTAGGGTTTAGGCGTTTAGGCGTTTAGGGTTTAGGGTTTAGGGTGTAAGGTTTAGGGTTTAGGGTTTAGGGTTTAGGATTTAGGGTTTAGGGTTTAGGGTTTAGGGTTTAGGGTTTAGGGTTTAGGGTTTAGGGTTTCTACTCGCGGGGTTGAGGGTGACAGGTGGTGGTGATGGCCAGAAAGGGTAGCAAAGCCGGCGGCTGCATAACCCGAAAGCGAGCGAAGGCAGAATCCTTGACGGATTCTGTGATGTTCTGTCTCCGCCTTTGGCGGAGGTGTCGGGGTGCAAAGTTGGACGCTGGTTGAAAGCTTCCCAGAGGCTTTTGATAGGAAGATCTCAAAGATCTCGGAAGTAGACCCTAAACTCAACCCCTAAATCCCAAACCCAGTGGTAAGCAAGAAACCGACTGAAGCGAAAGACAGCATAGGTTTTGGGTTCAAGGATTTAGGGTCTAAATCTTGCAAGGTTTAGCATCGAGTTTTGGGTTCAGGGGTCGAAGTTCAGTTTCGCCTCCCCCTTCTTCTGCCAAATCCACCCTAAGCCCTAAACGCCCTAAACCTTACTCTACACAACAAGCCTTCAGCGGTGACCAAGCGACAGCGCAATCACGAAGAAACCTGGGGCCACAACATCAAGTAATGCTTTTCAGCACTCATGAGAACAGTGCTCCTGCAACTCAATCTACAGGCGATCCCACATGACAAAAAAAAACTGTGAACTTGATAAGCACGGGGCTAAGGAGCGCGAAAAGCGCCTGCAGCCGACACAACACAGGCGACAGCCGTGTAGCCAACACAGTCTCTAGGGTGCTTCATATCGTACTCATGCATTTGAGTGGAGTTGGCTGTAGAAACTGTCCCAGATCTTCCAACAGCCCGAAGGCCTTGGAGAGGAACCCCCCAAAACTCCCCCCCAAACACGAAACAAACCCCCGAAGGCAACGGCGAACCCACAAAACGCACGAAATCCAGAACCACGAACCTTGTTTCTTCCTCCATGCCTTTGCGTTGCCTTGACTCCGACCCCAACCAAGGCTTGGATGCCTTTCTCATTGAAGAGAACTGCCCCCAAGGCATCCAAGGGCTACAACAGCTGACCCGACCGTGCAGTTTGGTGAAGTTGCCTGTAGCCTTTCTAGGAGACTTTCCGCAACAGCCCAAGGGCTCCTGCTGCATCTGCAGCGCATGCTCGAGGGCCTGCGCTGTACCCGAAACTTTTTGACGCGAGAACATGTCAAGCATGCAGTGGACAAGAAGACCCGTCTTTGCGCAGAGTCGCATCGTCAATGCTGGGGAAACAAGGGTTTTGAGACATGAAGGCCTCGTCCTTTTCCGCCAGCTCCTCCGAGGCCTTTTGGAAGGCGTCCGCGTTCTCCACGACCAGGGCCTCAGCTCTACTTGGATCAACATGGATCAACTCCACATCCATTCCAATAGAAGCCACTTGGAAAGCGGCGCCCTGATCGTCGCAGCGGTTGTGGAGGTCGGCCGTGCTGAACTGGAGGTTGAGCAGGTCCTCCTCCTACGAAGACGCGGGAGACTTTGCCAAAAAAGCGCCTCAAGTCGGCTCTATTTTCGTTTCGCGACCCAGCTCAGATGGATGTCCTACAACGCTGAATTTCACAAAGCTCAGTTCTTCATTTTGACAAACCAAATCTTTTGTCAGGGGAAGCGAACCCAGGATTGACGAGGCCTTCTGCGCCAAGCAGTCGCTGAGGTTGCGAAGCTCCTCCTGAAGCATCTGCACCTGAAAACTGATCGCACATTGCAGCCAGCTCACCCGCAGCATACACCCTACGCCCTGCAAATACACTCCAGACATCTTCAGACCCTCAATGATCTGGGTACCCCGGAATCCCAAAGACATCCAAAGACCTCAAGAGCCCTGAAGGCCTCCTTGTTCTTGCCGCTTCGCACCTGCTTCACCTGCGAGCCCCAGCACAAGGATTTGCAAGTCCAGGCGAGTGTTAGTGTCCTTCTGGTCTGGGGTCTATGCAGGGCTTCATGCGGCTTCATGCAAGCACTCCGCGGGAAACACCACTTTCAACCGCTCCGGAGCCCAGAACCCTTTCACTACCAGCCTTCAATCATCCGTTTAGGGCCTAAGCCTAGGCCTCCTGAACCTTTAGCCAGGGCTGAAAAAAAAGAACCGCCTTCTTCTTGCGCAGGCTGCCGAACGTGTGAGCACGCTGCTTCCTGCGTGTGCCGTGACTTAGGGTGGATTTCGGATTTTGGGCCGGAAACAGAGTGCAGGTTCAGCATTCCGGGCTGGAAGTAGAATCAGCGCTCGGCGTAACCGATCGTGGAGGCAACGGAGGGCTGTAAAGACTGAAGGCCCTCTTGCATTCCCTAAACTTGAAGGAACATACTACAATGGAGACCCAGACAAAAAAGGCTTATAGGCAACGTAGGAGATGCGAATTCGAGGTGGCCATTTGCCTTCCGGCCAGGTACCTAAACACCCTAACACCTAAATCCTAAACCCCAAACCATGACCTTGTCTTCTTGTCGTGCTTGCCGTACATCGTGGTACAGGACCTGCCAGGTTTAGGGTTTAGGGTTCCCATGGGTTCCCAAGGCCCCTACACTTGGACTGCTCCTACCATGCACTGGTCTCCGGGGTTGACATTAGAACTTAAGGTTTCAGAATTCAGGGGAGGTTCACGGGTTCGGGGGTTTAGGGGTTTACGCGGAGTTGGGCTTGAGGGGCAGGGTGTGAGGGCTTAGCGTTCAGGGGGATCCTATCTTGGATCATTTGAAGGTCTTAGGGATTAGAATTTGCGGGTTTCAGGGCTTTAGGAACCCGAACAGGTCCCAAGGTCTCGGCCCATCTCGACGCGAGGCCAACGCCTGAAGAACAGGACCGTAGTCCCTAAACCCTAAACCAAATTCCCTAAACCCTGAACCCTTTCAGGGTCTTGGGGTTTAGGGCTTCGGGTTCAGGGATTCTTTATGGCTTATATATATATATACATACATACATGTCTATCCATCTTGGTGTGAATGGTAGTCATAGAGATCCTTATCATATACATACTTTATTGTCAACCTTTGACCATCTGGTGTCAGTTGGTCGTCTGAATATTTTGACTTACAAACAGCAAAACCCTCAATCCTAACCCCGAATGCTTGCTATTTTGGAGTTCACAATTCCAGAAGAGCTGCTGAGCTTGCGTCGCACGACGCCGAGCCAGCTGCAGAGGCGCCGGGGGGTGTCCGGGACGAAGGTCCTTTTTTTCTCAGCGGTTTAGGGTTTAGGATTTAGGATCCGAGCAACACTTTGCTGGAAGTTCAAGCTTAAGGCTTTCCCTTGGGGGTATCGACACGGAGTGGTGTTTCTCATCGCCAAGTTTGGAGATGGGATCTATCTGCTTCGCCGTCTCCGAATTCCAGATTTTCTGGAAGATCTCCGGCTCGGGGAACTTGAGGCTGCTTCTGCTGGGTGGATGAATAAGGCGGAGCACCTTCAAGCCGGACTTCCGCAGCAAGTCATGGTGTCGCTACAGGACCTCCTGAATCCTGCTGCTGGCCGCGCCGATCCGTAGAGCCCAACCCCAAAACCCCAGTCCCCCACAAAGCTTTAACACCCAACCTGAACTCCTAGAGACCCCAAATTGCCAAACCCCAACATAAACCCATCCAAGGAACTTCAACCCCAAAACCCTGACAGCCCTTCATTCAGACCCCCCCCGCCCCCCCACCCTTGAAAGATCAAAATACCTAGTCGAAAACCCACTTAGGGCTCAGACTTTTTCTCCGGTGTTCAAGGCTCCGTCAGGAAGGTTGCTCACCACACAGTTGGGCATGCTTGTGCATCTCATTGAAACCACAAGGGCACTGCAATTCACGCTCCTCAACCACGCCTAGAACGATAAGGTGCTGCGAAAAGTCATGCAAGCGGCGTTCATCCCATGTCTGGGTCGACCCCACTTTTCATCAAACATGCTTGGGGGCTGATTGAAAACCCATGAGACTTGATGATGTCATCACCGTCATCACCGTCATCATCGTCATCTTCGCGACACATCCAAGCATCCAAGGCCTCCAAAGGGGCTTTGGGGTGTTGGGGTTTTGGGGGGCTTTTGGGTTCCCACCCCAAGTCCTGCTGAACTGGCCAGCAGCGTTGGCAGCAAGACCTCGAGCAGCTGACGAAACTACTCCAACCCACATCCAAGCGAATCCCAACGATATCGCACAAATGAGGCGGCGCATATGTAGATCTATGTGGCTATCAGACCAGCTTTGCTATGTTTGTCAGATGTCTTCTCTGCCAGGAAATTGTTGCCCGCTATTCCCATCCAAGATGGCCCAGGACCGGGGGTAGAAGAACTGGGTGAAAATATTTTCAGGCGAAGGTGTATAAGTTGTAGTGTCGTCCCTGAAAGCCAAAAGAGCCAAAAGCTGAGTTCCCGCGCCGGCCGTGCGCCAGGAAGCAGGTAAGTGCACTCCCTGGCCGGAGGATTGAAGTCTTCGGGCGTGTCTTGCAGTTCTGGCTGTTAGGAGAACTCTGCAAACTCGGACGCGGTAGGACGCTTGTTGGTTTGTGACTTGCCCCAAACCGACCAGATTTGGCGGCAAACCCTGGACCCTCGCCCCTCCATCCTCCAACCCTTGCCAGATCGCGCCTGCTGGTCCAGCGCCTGCCCACCCACAGCACTTCCTAATGGCCGTAGTCATAGACACCCTCCACCTCCCAAAATTACTTACATCATTTCCTGCAGTAAACCACATGAAGTACCGTGCAGAATACTGAATGAAGGGCCTTTGAACATATATAGTTTCTTTTGAATGTTTTATTTTTGTTTTTTCATGTTTTCTCATTGCTTTAATTCTGTTCTGGGTATATGTATATATATATACATATATATATATATGATTTATTTATTTATTTTGTATTCACTTCTGAGAAAAAAGACTTTCCATCATAATCTTTCCAATCGTGCTTCCTTAAACAAATGTGCAACGCCCATCTGGCAAGGAAGGGAACCTAAACGCTAAACCGCTTGGGGATCTGACTATAGGGCTTGCAACCCCAAGTGCCCCAACAGCCTTCAACCCTGAACCCAAGCTCTCACTGGGCCGGCGGCTCGCGCAGCTCCTTCGCCTGCGAAAAGGCTTCGGGGAGTGAGGACATGAGGATCAAGATCTTTAGGGCTTAGGGGTTCTACAGGGCCCTAAACCCGAAACCCGAAACCCTAAACCCTAAACCCTAAACCCTAAACCCGGTTCAGGAGTTACGTTTTGGGCTCCCCAGAAGCGCCTGGATCTCATCCACAGAACGCCTGCACTCAGCGGCCTCGGACCATGGGTTCTTCGGCTTTGTGCGTTCTGGGGTTTAGGGTTTAGAGTTTAGGGTTTAGGGTTTAGGGTTTAGGGTTTAGGGTTTAGGGCTTGAGCATCCCGGACCCTATAGACTCTCGGCAACAGCAGCTCAAATGTCAGTTCTCAGCACACGCACACATTCTACCAGCTGCGGACTGACTGCACAGAGCATGCGCTTTGGCAGCTCAAAGCCAACACGTTACACGATCGAATATACTCGAACCAGCCAGCACGCCCTACGTCCGACACCCGTTGATGCAGGACACATCCACCCTGACATCAAGGCAGAGCAGCGTTTACAGTTCGGGACGGAGTTCTTAAACAAGGAATTAAGCAAAGGGAGGGTTCCACACTGTTCCACTTCCATAACAGTGGAAACGGGAAAGAGGCTACTCACAGATGCGGAAGGCCCCTGGCATCTTGCTCCCGCAGCTTCTCGCGCAGAGACTCCAGCTCAGTGATCACCTGCTGGGAAGGTCTGTGCTGGGACGTGGGCTGGCATCATACGCCTAAGAAGCAGGAAGGACCCCCAAGCAGCGGGTGGCCAACTTTGAAAAGGATGGCCTTGCCTGAGCTGAAGCAGTCCCCCATCATCCCCCTGGTACTTTCCGGGTCCGTCCACCCCATATCATGAATCCCAAAAAAATCCTCATTCCACTAACTGTGAAATAGACTAGTCCTTTGTGAACCCACGCCCCGCCACGCAAATGGAGCGCGCCAAAAACAGCACGAAAAATCGAAACAGTCGAAAAATGGATTTGGACAAGAGCTTCTCGCGAAAAGCCGAACATCCACCAAAAGCCAAAACATGCCGAAAAGTCCTAAAAGTCGAAAAGTTCCGAACAGTTCTTTGATAGTATAAAAGCCGCATGGTGTTTCGAGGGCCTCTGAAAGGAACCAAAGCGGGCGCGATCATTCGGGAACTTACTCTCGGCAGCTATGTTTGGCATTTCGATTCGAGGGCCTTGAACGGGCGCGGTCATTCAGGAACTTACTCTCGGCAGCTCTGTTTGGTGTTTCGAGGGCCTCTGAAGGGCTCCAGAGCGGGCGCGGTCATTCGGGAACTTACTCTCGGCAGCTGTGTTTGGTGTCTTTAGGGCCCACAACGGGACGGGCGCGGTCATTCGGAAACTTCTCGCGAGTTATGTGTGGTGATCGCGGGCTTCCGAAGGGCCCCAAAACTGGCACGGTCACGGTGACACCCATTCTCGGGAGCTTCGTTTGGTGTATTGAGGGCCTCTAAAGGACTCTTAAACTTGCGGGGCCACTCTTGAACTTGGTCTCGTGTGCTACGTTTGGTGTTTCGCGGGCCTCTGAAGGACTCCAGAACGTGCGCGGTCATTGGGGCATTTGTTCCCGGGAGCTATGTTCCCCATTTTTCCCTTCCTTTTCTTTTGCCCTTGTTGCTGCGCTGCCTGCTCTGCAGGGCTTGGAGCCATGACATACACGAGTGCCCATCCCCTTGCCGGGGGATCCTCTCTCTCTCTCTCTCTCTCTTTCTCTCCTCTCTTTCTATGCGCCAACAACCTACCCAAACATACATATTCTTCGTGCGATAATGCTTAAAAATTTACCCAGAGGGGTTTAGGGTTTAGGGTTCACGGTTTAGGGCTCAGGGTGTTTAAAATTTAGGCTTTAGGGCTTGTAGTAAGGACCTTGAATAGAGGGAACTCCCTACAAAGGTTCTCCTCAGTCAGGGCCCCGGACGGCAGCGTGTCGCTGCTCCACACCCCGCAGCCTGCCAAGCTGCGAAGACAAAGATAAGATGAGAAAAGAAGAAAGACTGGGGTAAAGTCAACACATAAAGTAAAATGCTGCAAGGCGCCTCCCCCCCACCCTCAGGATTCGTGACAGACACAGATCACTTCCTCCCCGTCGCCCTCGGCCTCATGCACTCTGCCTTCGAGTCCTCCAGCTCCTTGAGAAGGCGCGCCGATTCCCTGGCTTGGGTCTGCCTCTCAAGGTCCTGCGAAGCGAATTGGCAGAGAATTGGGAGGGTAACTGGATGCCAAAAGGAGAGGCGCGCCTTCAAGATCCGGCTGCGCGTTGCTTCAATGGAGGCCCGCCTTGCCCCAATTTCCCCCGATTTTTTCCGATGCCCCCCCCCCCCCACTAAGTCCCCCGCCCCCGTGTTTTTTTGCCCGCAATACTCCTTATACACCTTCTGGATAGCAAAGGGCAATGCAACGAAAACTCATGCCGCAAAGACTGGGCTGCTAACATCTGCTCGGATTCTCTGTCGGCAGCCTGGTCAGAGGATTGCCGCTTGAAGCATCACTCTGGACTGCCTAAACGCAATTTTCCACTGCACTACAAGTGCAAAAGCTGTTGATCTGCGCGCTTCCTCGCGCCACTGCTCACGGTGACGCTGTAGCATGGACTCCATGTCCCGGGACTTCTCCTCCTTTACGAGACAACAGAAGACCTACGTCAGACAGGCTGCAAAGGAAGGTGCTGGCAGCGATTAGCAGCAAAAATAAAGCCAGTCTGCTCCAAATGGTCCATTTCGGTCCTCGAACTGGCTGATGCGAACAAGCATGGCTTTGCGCTCCTCCTCACAGCTTCCGCGACAGCTGAACACAGGCAAGGTGGCACGCTTCAAATCCGACCAAGGTCTGAAGCCCCTAGCCCGCAGCAAGAAAATTGAACCAAGGGCATCCTGAACAAAAAGCTGCAACGCAGCGCTGACACGGGTAAAGTGGCCAGGTCGAGCATCTCTAACTAGTGTTCCAAGGCTGTGCACGTGGCATCAAGGACAACTACGTCGGTGCAGCACACGTTAGTGTTTCAGCACATGCTGCGGTCAGCACGTATCGAAGTGGCTTGAGTAGGCTGGCGCACCTTGAGTTGGAGGAGGTCAGCACCTATTCACCATCTCAACGACATTCTCAAAGCACTGGCGCAACTTCAGAGTCTCTGTAAAAAGCCCGTGTCACAGCGCCGACGCCTGCCACTGCTTGTGCTTCTTGCGCCACACGTAACTCCTGCCGCTCCCCCTCCAGGATAGCCTCCAAGCGCTTGCATCATACAAAGAGAAGCCAGAGACTGCAAAATCTGCAGGACACCTGGCCTCAGCCTCGCGCAGTTGACCCTGGGCTGAGCAAGACTCCACCAAAACTTTGCATAAGGGTTGTGGATGGTTGCGGGTGCCTGCAGCACTTGGACCTGGAAGCCAGCTTCTTTGGCGCGCTTGTGGGCCGCCTCAGCGCAGGATGCCAACAGGATCTGTAGGGCCCAATGCCGTCTCCGAAACCGTGTTTGTTGCACATGTCCCGTCCGGTCTCCCCCCACCCCCTTCCCCAACTGCCTTTTTCTTCCTCGGGAGAGCACTCTGGGCCCCTGAGAATCCCTGAAGAAACCCCTACGACCCCGCGTTCTCCCCTGCAACCTCACAAAGTGTCTGACAAGAGCAGAAGCGGAGGCTGCCGAGCGCAGAGTGTTTAATGCGTGTCTTGATGTCGGCATCTTTCTGTTAAGGGGCAGCTGAGCCATTCCACAGGCTCATGTTATCATCAAGTCATGATGAGACTGCCGCGACAAAGACCAGAATGGCTGCCTCAGCACCTAAGCCCGAAACTGGGACCGCCTAAAGCTTCAACGACGAAATTATAACCCTCCACCCGAACCCAAGCAAGGATCACCCAGGCTCTGCGCCTTGAGATCGAGAAGACGCTGGGATTCCTTCTACTACAGCAGGACATATGCTTGTGCTGCACGAATCCTTCTTCAGTTTTTAGAGCGCTTAGCTTTTAAGTCAGGCTCACTTTGCGCAAGGAAGAAAAGGAGGAAGCAAGCACGAAACTGAGCAGAGAACTTCATGGTTTCCACGTGATCCGGGCGATTAGGCGACTGCTCGAATAGGCGGGGGGTGGGGGTGGGGGTCGGGGGGCCTATGATTCAGGGTTCAGAGTTGACTTTCCGAGTCGCTAAACCTTGTTTTTGGCGGGCTGGTTCGTAGTTTCCAGGAAACTGCAGTCGAGTTCGTTAGCTTCTGGGAAAGTATCAAATTTCCTCGAACTTTTTTATGATTAAGGGGTTTTGGCATCCAGGATGACTTCCTTGCTGAACTCCCCGCAATCCCACATCGCCACTTGAATTCTAGCCATCATGAATGGCCCCCTGCTCATGTGGTCTGCCTGCACTTACCTCGTGAATGTGGCTCGGCTGGCGCCTGAGACTACATATGCCAGGCTCTCCCCTCCGGTTAAAACTCTCTGAAAGATACTCCTGAAAGCTTCGGGTTCGGGGTTAGGTCATCCCAACAAGTGGAAGACAAACCCCAGGGGCCTACCGACACTCCTCTCGGTGGCCCAGGGATCCTCAGCCTGACAACCCCGTACTTTAACCAGTCGACGCCCCAAAACCCAACATAGGCTCGCAGCTCCTCCTCGTAGCCCTCCTGCATTGCGGCACAGATCAGCGAAGTGAGCTTCAATCGAGCAGCGAAGTGAGCTTCAATCGAGCATGGGCTGAGCTCCGCACCGTCAGCTCCCTCCACACGTATGCAAAGCACGACGACATTGCGGGGATGACTACGCCTGCCCTGTTTAAGCTGCCATTTACTGTTGGTGTGCAGGACTAGTGAAAACGTTGTCTACAGGGGCAAATGTTCAAGGGGTTGGACGCCATGCCGCCACGAAATTTCTGTTCCTAACGTCAGCCATTTGCGCAACATTGCCGAAGAGAGGGATGTAGAGTAGGGAGATGTAGGGAGCTGGAGCTGGACAGGCCACGTACCCTTCTGAAACATTTGCTGCGGTGAACACTCCACCCATCCGCGTAAAGCCTGCCATGAACCAGCAACAAGCTCCTTCTCGTGCGATGCACTCAGAAGCATACCGCCTCTGGCAACAGGCTTTTTTCGCGGCCAACGCAAAGACCCCAATCTTTGAATGGACTTGGGCTCCTGATGCTGCGCAAAGGTGTGTAGGAGTTTAAGAATTAAGGGGTTTTCATGTAAGGTCATTTGTGGACTTGGGGTTTTGGGGCTTCCCTTTTGGGTGCAAAGGTTAGAGTTTAGGGTTTTACAGGAGTACTTGGATGGCCTAGACATGTAGGACGGGGATGAAGAGCTTCAGGGCATACTCGTGGATCAACCGCGTTTCCCAACATAATTCGCCAACCCCCAACCTGAAACCCAAAATCCGCCAAGTGCTTCTGAGCTAGAGTCGCTCTGCGGGATCCCACACTGGAGGCAGCTGCGGCATCAAAGGGGAGCGGGCTCAAGAGCCATGTGCCCAAACAGCCGGAGAAGGGCCAGAAGGGTTTTGTTACAAAGTTTACGGGTGATAAAGGCTTGGGGCTGAAACTAGGGTTTAGAGATTTTTTGAGGTAGTGGAGGCCCTTTCGCCTTTCGCCAACCGAGCGGCCGCTCTGAAGCGGCCGGCCGAATTCATTCAGCTAGCTTTAAACGTGCACAGGCGGGCAACAACTGCCTTCAGCAACTGGTGGCAGTTCGTCAGGTAGTTGCTCTCATCGAACCCTCAGCGCCCTTGCAGCCTGAGCATTCCCTTGCTCTCCGTAATTGATAGCTAGAATCGACGAAAATGTGCAATTGCTTGAGGCGTTGAGGATGAATTGCTACGAGCCCTGACGTCATGATGACCCCTAATGCTCGAACGCGCTCCCCCTATCCCTAAACCTTAAACCCTAACTCCTGAAGATGGCTCGTCTCAAGTGATTTCGGTGGCCCGATTGGATGCTGCGCCTCCGATTAGCTCCATGTTTGAGGCTCGTGCTCGGGGTTTCGGGAAGGGTGTCTTCGCTCCACCAGCGCAGCCCATATGAGAGCCTTCTTTCGGGTAGTCGAAGCAATGGCTCCACGTCATGTAGGGGCCTCTAGATAACAAGAGTAGCGTCTAGGGTTTAGGCGCCTAGACTCCTAGACTTGAAAGGATAGTGGAGGATGCGTTGGAAAAGCATTTGGAGCATGAAATGACGGCGCCGATGAATCGCTGCAGGGCCTTCTGAGTTCGGGCGTGTGTTGAAACTCCCAAAATGGCTAAATATGAATTACACACATTCGGCTACGGTTATGACTGGGCCAATGCCATTACACGACAACTCCCATAACATCCCGTCGCCAAGAGTGCTCAAACCCATTTCTCTGCCTGCCATCCTCGGCCACACGCCCTACACAGCACCGATTTGTGTACTAGATCCAAGGCCTCAACAAGCCAACTGAACAGAATCGCCTGCCTTGATCGGTTAGTACCCCTTAGACATCGAATCCTAAACCTGAGTCTGAGGCTGCCCCTGTATATAAAGGCACGGCCTCTTCGCGCGCACGCATGACCTGCGTCAAGGCTGGGGGCTTCGGGATTGTTGGATCAAGTTTGAAGGTCTTGGATTTTGGGTTTATTGGGTTAGGGCCAATGCCATTACACGACAACTCCCATAACATCAGCGGCCTCTTTTGCCAAGCGCTCCTCTTCGGCTTTCTTGGCTAGCAAGCGTTCCTCCTCTGCCTTGGCAGCGGCCTCTGTTGCCAAGTGCTCCTCTTCGGCTTTCTTGGCTAGCAAGCGTTCCTCCTCCGCCTTGGCAGCGGCCTCTGTTGCCAAGCGCTCCTCCTCGGCTTTCTTGGCTAGCAAGCGTTCCTCCTCTGCCTTGGCAGCGGCCTCTGTTGCCAAGCGCTCAACTTCGGCTTTCTTAGCTAGCAAGCGTTCCTCCTCTGCCTTGGCAACAGCCTCTGTTGCCAAGCGCTCAACTTCGGCTTTCTTGGCTAGCAAGCGTTCCTCCTCCGCCTTGGCAGCGGCCTCTGTTGCCAAGCGCTCCTCCTCGGCTTTCTTGGCTCGCAAGCGCTCCTCCTCCGCCTTGGCAGCGGCCTCTGTTGCCAAGTGCTCCTCTTCGGCTTTCTTGGCTAGCAAGCGTTCCTCCTCTGCCTTGGCAGCGGCCTCTGTTGCCAAGCGCTCAACTTCGGCTTTCTTGGCTAGCAAGCGTTCCTCCTCTGCCTTGGCAGCGGCCTCTGTTGCCAAGCGCTCAACTTCGGCTTTCTTGGCTAGCAAGCGTTCCTCCTCTGCCTTGGCAGCGGCCTCTGTTGCCAAGCGCTCCTCTTAGGCTTTCTTGGCTAGCAAGCGTCCCTCCTCCGCCTTGGCAGCGGCCTCTGTTGCCAAGCGCTCCTCCTCGGCTTTCTTGGCTAGCAAGCGTTCCTCCTCTGCCTTGGCAGCGGCCTCTGTTGCCAAGCGCTCCTCTTCGGCTTTCTTGGCTAGCAAGCGTTCCTCCTCTGCCTTGGCAGCGGCCTCTGTTGCCAAGCGCTCCTCTTCGGCTTTCTTGGCTAGCAAGCGTTCCTCCTCTGCCTTGGCAGCGGCCTCTGTTGCCAAGCGCTCAACTTCGGTTTTCTTGGCTAGCAAGCGTTCTGCCTTGGCAGCGGCCTCTGTTGCCAAGCGCTCAACTTCGGCCTTCTTGGCTAGCAAGCGTTCCTCCTCCGCCTTGGCAGCGGCCTCTGTTGCCAAGCGCTCCTCCTCGGCTTTCTTGGCTAGCAAGCGTTCCTCCTCTGCCTTGGCAGCGGCCTCTGTTGCCAAGTGCTCCTCTTCGGCTTTCTTGGCTAGCAAGCGTTCCTCCTCTGCCTTGGCAGCGGCCTCTGTTGCCAAGCGCTCCTCCTCGGCTTTCTTGGCTAGCAAGCGTTCCTCCTCCGCCTTGGCAGCGGCCTCTGTTGCCAAGCGCTCCTCCTCGGCTTTCTTGGCTAGCAAGCGTTCCTCCTCTGCCTTGGCAGCGGCCTCTGTTGCCAAGCGCTCAACTTCGGCTTTCTTGGCTAGCAAGCGTTCCTCCTCTGCCTTGGCAACAGCCTCTGTTGCCAAGCGCTCAACTTCGGCTTTCTTGGCTAGCAAGCGTTCCTCCTCCGCCTTGGCAGCGGCCTCTGTTGCCAAGCGCTCCTCCTCGGCTTTCTTGGCTCGCAAGCGCTCCTCCTCCGCCTTGGCAGCGGCCTCTGTTGCCAAGTGCTCCTCTTCGGCTTTCTTGGCTAGCAAGCGTTCCTCCTCTGCCTTGGCAGCGGCCTCTGTTGCCAAGCGCTCAACTTCGGCTTTCTTGGCTAGCAAGCGTTCCTCCTCTGCCTTGGCAGCGGCCTCTGTTGCCAAGCGCTCATCTTCGGCTTTCTTGGCTAGCAAGCGTTCCTCCTCTGCCTTGGCAGCGGCCTCTGTTGCCAAGCGCTCAACTTCGGCTTTCTTGGCTAGCAAGCGTTCCTCCTCTGCCTTGGCAGCGGCCTCTGTTGCCAAGCGCTCCTCTTCGGCTTTCTTGGCTAGCAAGCGTTCTTCCTCCGCCTTGGCAGCGGCCTCTGTTGCCAAGCGCTCCTCCTCGGCTTTCTTGGCTAGCAAGCGTTCCTCCTCTGCCTTGGCAGCGGCCTCTCTTGCCAAGCGCTCAGCTAATCACACAATTTGGGAAGCTGGGAGCAGAACAGCACGTATACCTAACAACCGTACAAGAAACCCCTGGTTTGCAACCGCAAACACTTTTCATAAGGGGAATCATGAACAGGAAAACTCTGATCCGGGAAACGAGTTCTAGGGCTTTAGCCGGCGGACCCCGATTTCTGGAAGTACCTGTTTACAGGACCTGTTTACAGGGCCGTTGTGGGCTCATGTGTGTTTGCCTCTCCCAAGGGACCCTAAACCCAAGAACTCTCAACACCGACAGGAAGGGGGCGATCACGTTTACATAGTGCTCATAGGCCCATTCCCTATCATCAAGTGGCTAGAAGTTCTGGAAGGAGCTCCCAAACTGCCAGCCTTGGCGGACGTAAGGCCTGGCAGAATGGCTAGTAGGAGACTTTGGCGCATGAACCACTTGAAGCACACGGTCGGCTTGCGGCTTGTGCTTGTGTTTACGCTGTACGATGCGACGCAGTCTCGCACTTCAAGCTCTGTGTCACTCATGCTCCAGCGTTGACGTTACAGGCGAACCTGCTTTCCCGTAGCGTGTTTCATTCTTCTTGCTTCATGCGCCAACGAAATCATGGGAATTGGGATGCCATTTCCTGTAATTGCCTGAAACGGTTTTGAAAGGCCGGGCATTTGCGGGTTCGCTCAAACAAGTGTTCCAGAAAAAGTCAAGACCGCAGAGTGAAGCTTTAAATCCATGCGTTTGCTGCCACTATGTCTGGAATGCATCTTGGCTACTGAAGGGTGCAGAGCAGATGCACTGTCGACTGTGAGAGACTGCGAACTGAGGCTTGCTCCCCCCCTGCTCGTCGACGGAGAGCGTTGCACCTGCGCAGCAAGCCTACAGGTGCAATGAGAACCTGTCCTACACTGTAGTCTTCCAGGCCCTGAATGCGAATCCTGAGACAAAGGCCGGACCCGTCGACTGGCAACTGAGAACCCCGCACCAGGCCTAGCTTGAATCCAAATAAACAAATTTGAATCTACACAATTACAAAAACACTTCACCGTGCCTGGCGTTGCTACCGGACCGTAGGTCATGCACAGGCGTGTCCTACTCTAGCAACCACACAGCCTCGAGGCGTGGGCCAAGCGCCGGGAGACTGACATGCCCGACAGCCTCTCCACTCCAGACCAAGGCACAACGAGTTATCAAGCAATTCCACATCCCTCTGCTGTGAATTCCATGCATGAAGTGCCAAGTCTTTTTGGGCTACATTGCTTTGCCAGACCAGGTTTTGCTTGAAAAATGGGGGGGGGGGGGAATTGGGGGGGTCAGGAAGGGGTTGTTCTTGATGGGCGTGCTGCGGGGCTTGGGGAGAAAAAAACGAAAACCTGAGCATCTTTGGGGGCAGCTTTCTGGGTTCTGCCGCGCGCCTCAGGCGGCTCGGCCGGGTGGACCTGGCCAGGTCGGGCTGGGG